CTACCTTAGCATGCAGGAAGCCCTTGATCTGATCTCCAGAGAGTGTGATTCACTTGGTTTCCTTCTTTCAACTGCGAAAACAAAAGCCATGTGGCACGGTCGTGTTGTACCTCCACCCCTTCTCTTATCAGGAACGCTCTTGGACTGGGTTAATGAGACAAAATACCTGGGTGTGTATGTAACTCGCACACGTTGTCAGATACCTGAAGTCCGCTATCTTCGAGACATATGCTTTCGGCGTCTCGCTCCCCTCTCTACCATGTGCAGGGATTCCCTTGGTGCCACCATCCCTGTACTTCTCATCATGTACAAGTCCTTTGTCCGTTCCTGTGTCGACTACGCCGCCCATGCCCTCGTCAACATTAGTCGGACTGCTGTCAACTGTCTCGAAGTTATCCAGAGGAAAGCTGCTCGTATCATCCTTGGGGCTCCTCAGTGGACACGCTCTACTTCTCTATATACCGAACTTGGTCTTTCCCCCTTACAGGATCGTGTCCAGGAGTTTTACCTAAAAACTACCGTTTCCATTCTACAGGATCCTCGGGGCAACTATGTCCAAGCCTACTTGACTCCTGTTGTCCGAGGCCGACCTCCATTTAGAAGACAGTGGCGAGGGTCACTCATCCGAGCTCTTCAGGAACACGACCTCCTGCCTGATATTGTTGTCACCCCTGCTGTTGGTTCGTCTCCTTCTCCCTGGCTGCATTTTCAACCTGAAGTGTTTGCCCTCGGTGGACCGCTCCCGAAATCCCACGTGAACCCCGTTATTCTCTGCAAATACCACCTCTCCAAGATCGCCCACTGGTCCCCAGGCTGGGTCGTCCTCTACACTGATGGTTCTGTTGACCCCGCTACAGGTCGGGCCGGGGCTGGTGTCTACATCTCCCGTCCCGATGCCCCTGAGCCTATCAAACTGTCTCTCAGAGTTTCTGACGGGGCATCCTCCACTTAGGCTGAACTAATAGCCCTCCTTGCTGCCCTTCTCGCTGAGGAAGAAGCAGATGGTTTCTGCCCCTTGCTTGTCTGCTGCGATTCCAGGTCTGCTCTCAACGGGATCGCATTTGGATCAGGGGAAAATAAGGACCTCATCTTCCGAATACGAGGGTTAACATCCACACTTCAGGATGCAGGCCGTTCTGTGACATTCCTATGGATACCCAGTCATGTCGGTATCTTGGGGAACGAGGCAGCAGATGGCCTTGCCAAGACTGGCTGCATCAAGGCCACACCTGACTACGTTGATCCTCGAACACTTTTACAGCTTAGGACTCCCCGCCCACCTGGTACGATGTCCTCCGTAAACTTCCTGACCTCTCGTATGTCTATGGGAAAGGGTCGCTGAAAAGGGACGTGATTGCTGCCCGTATCATCATTTGGTATGACTTTGCTTGGGAGATTGGTATCCCCGCATCCCCTGAGCAACGCTCTTATGCATTATGCAGAAGACCCGACAGCCGCACCCTTATCCACTACCTCCTAAGATGTCCCCACACACAACGCTTCCGTGATGCCTGCTGGACCATCACTCCACGGCTGATCGGCTCTGTAAATAAATATCATTAGATAATTAATTTTTCTTTACTGTGCAACTCAGTAATACTATTTTGAATATATAAATATTACAAAGCATATAAACTAATTCAATGGATATTAGCTGCCCTTACTACAAATTTCATAGTAAACATTCCAAACAATATTGGTATTATTTTGGTTTTGGTCATCTGGGAACTATAGGTTTAAGTACTTTAAACAGCATGGATAATGGTAGCCTCAATGCTCCTACATTTGGTGTCAGAGAGAATACTGGCATTTGTTTTCTTGTCTTCCCAGCGAACTCGGAGGATGGAACGTAAACTACGTTGGTAAAAGTTTTCAAGTGCCTTGAGGTGCCTTCTGTATGTGAGCCACGTCTTGCTGCCAGACACGAGGATGAGGAGGACCACTGCTCGATATACCCGCAACTTTGTAGATAATTTAAGCTCCTTGTCACTGAAGACACGGGTACGGAGTCTGCCAACGGCTTGAGCTGCACATTTGATCCAATGGTGGTGGTGGACAGGTGGGAGCCATGATACAGAAAATGGGTAACATTAGCGAGGGTAGTACCGTTAAGGTGGATGGATGGAGGAAGTGTGGTTGAATCAAGGGCGTGCTGAAAGAGAATTTGAGTCTTGTGTACATTCACCTTAAGGCCGAAGTGTGCATAAGCATCTGCGTAGGTATTCTTGGTCTCCTGTAGGTCGCTTTCATTGTGAGCGACAAGGGCGAGGTAGTCTGCATAATGTAGTTCAGTCATGAAAGCTACCGATACCTTTGCCGATACCTTTGTTCCTGCCTCGAGTCGTCTTATGTTAAAAAGACCCTTCATCCGGTACTCGGTGTCCACCCAGCTGGCTAAATTGGGACTGGCACTAGTAAGGAAGGCAGCCACGAAAATAGAAAAGAGATTTTGTGCCAGTACATTCACCTCAAGGCCGACATGCATACGCATTTCCGTAGGCGTTTAGGATCTTCTATAGGTCGCGTTCAGTGTGAGGGACGAGGGTGAGTCCCTGAGTCCCTCCATACGGTATTGGATGTCCACCCCGCCGGATAAATTGACATTGACACGAGTAAGGAAGGCAGCCAAGAAAATGGAAAGGGGAGTTGGTAGTACATATCCTTGCTTTACCCCCGTTTGGTTGGGGAAGAACTCAAACTGGGTGCCATTGTACAGGACACTGAGGTTCATACCTTCGTGGAGTTGACTCATAATGGCCATGAATTATGGTGGGCAGCCAAAACGGCTTAGGGTCCGCCAGAGGGCTTTCCTGCTGACTGAGTCAAAGGCCTTGGTAAGGTTGAGGAAGGTCATGTACAGGTCACAACGCTGTTCTCTGCACTTTTCCTGGATCTGGCGGGCAGCAAAGATCATGTCAGTGGTGCTTCGTGATGGTCTAAAGCCACAGTGAGATTCTGGGAGGAAGTTTTCCGCCTCAGGAAGAAGTCTGTTTAGGTGAACTTGGGCGATAATCCTGCCAGCTATGGACAGCAGGGAGATCCTGCGATAGTTGTCTCAGTCTGACCGGTCTCCCTTGTTCTTATAAATATTGACGATGGGGGCATCTTTAAGAATTGGGGGGATTTCCTCTTTTTCTTATATATTTTCCAGAAAAGAGTGGAGACGGTTGGTAAGCAGAGGGCTTCCTGCTTCATACCTTAACACTAATATAATGCTGCCACACTAGATGCATTACACCACCCCGTGCACACACACATACACACACCCGGATGACCACACAACTGAACAAGGAAGTTTTTGTTCAATACTGTGTCAACAAAAACAGAAAAACGTCACGACCACCGCAACAAGAACCGCAGTCAGTGATCCGCCTTCCTTCTAGGGAGTAAAGCATCGTGAAAGAGTTTTTTTTTAAGTTTAACAAATTTATTGACAAAGCTTGGAGTACAGTTTGCCTATTCTGAGTAATTCAGTCAAAGAGAGGAAGTGAAAGCAGATGCAGGAACGAGGTAAGGAGACAGAAAATGGTTGAAAAAGAGAATATGAATGATATAAATATAAATGATGAAGAAAAAAATAAAAAAAAAGATAAAGAAAAAGAAAAAAATTGATAAAGCAGAGAAGGCAGTAAGGTTGAGACAAAAAGAAGAGAATAGGGAAAAGAAGAAAGGAATGATACATGGATGACAGATAAAAGAAGTTGGGGGGGGGGGGAGGCGAAAGGAAGAAGAAAGGAGGAAAGCAGGACAAGAAGTAGAATGATATGAGAGAAAAAGTAAGTAAGAAAGTGGTAAAACTAAAAAGAAAAGCCTATGATTGAAGAGAAAAAGTAAATATAAAAAGAAATGGAATAGGGATAAGAAAATAGAAGGAAACAAGGAAGAAGGAAAGCACTATCAGAAGGAAAATTAAACAATTACGGTAGAATGAGAAAATAAAAAATAGAAAGGACATAGAAATAGACACACACAAAACGTCTTCACTGTGTTCTAAAGCTGTTGGGTAGGTTTTATATAGATCTCTATTCAATCCTAAATACCCTTCATGATTTATCACCATACTTGGAGTTATTGTACCTCCACTCTTCTATATTTCAATCCGTACTTATTGTAAGAATTCTGAGTCAACATTGAGACTATAATATTGTGCTCCTTAATCTCGATAGTGGCCTGAAACATGGGACGTATTGAGAAAATATATTCAGTTCATTGCAGCTACCTTTGTGTACCCCAAGAAGCTGTGTGGAGGTCCCTGTGTGTCTCGGTATCTTCTATAATAAATGTTGGCGGAGGAACGACAAGAAGATGATAATAAAGAAAGAGGAAAAGGCAAGAAGGGGAAGGAGGAGGGAATTAAAAGAAGGAAAACAAATGTAAGAACGGATAAATAAATGAGACACAAAAGGTGTGACTAAGTCTCCAGTTTCAGGCAGAGGCCCATCTAAACACATTAATTTTGGGGGGTAAGCATCTCTATTTACAGGGTGCCTCTCAATATAGAAGAAGCTCTTAAGATATCAGGCATGTCAATATTACTATTATTTTTCACTTTTTGTCTGTAAAATTGTGATTAAATAAACTGTTTCCGTATGAATCTCAATATAAAATTATCGCTACTCTTGCTGAAAAAAGAAACTCCATCAGATCGTAGTGTTGGTAACTGTGAATGGACGACAGAAAGGAGTAACAAATAAGGGAGAGGACAGTGGGAGGGGGTGAATATTGATAGAAGATGGTTGTACAAGAATTAAATTGTTTTTTGGGGGACAAGATGCGGGCGGCGAGGATACAGGGCTAAGGTGGGAGGGACGACTAGTTAAAGGAGGGGTGAGGGTGACACCACTAGGTCTTGGGGGAGGGGGGCAGGTGAGGAGGAGGAGGCGAACGAGGAAGACGGCCAGTGCAGTGCTGTGAAGGAGTGTGTGTGTTGCCTCAGTGTCGGCTAGACCACTGCCAGTATTTCTCCTCCTCCAGCTTAGCAGACAGTGTGAATATTGGACCCTTTTGATTTGTATTTGTCGATGTACGGAGTACATGTTTATTAGCTGATGTACTGTACCTGTTTATTACGGGATGTACTGTGCCTGGTTATTAGTGGATGTACTGTACCTCTATATTAGCTGATGTACTGTACCTGTTTATTACGGGATGTACTGTGCCTGTTTTTAAGTGTTATTCGTACATAACAGAGAGTGTCGTCAGTTTGTAAGTGGTCGTAAAAGTAAGGAGCTTTTAGTAGGTGCTTCAAAAGATGCTGTAACAGAGAAAGAATAGAGCCACCAGACTTTTATACAACTCAATTTTACTTTTTTTTCATACTACCATTACAAGTTATGGTATTTATTATCTGTTATTTTCTACTCGAATTGCAAGAATTATGTATAATTTGACTGACTGTCAACATAAACATAGAAAGGAATAACCTACTTATGAGAGATATTTGATCACGTCAATTAAGTTTGTATATCGAAATAATTCAACAGTACTTTATTAAATATTGAGGGATGGGGAAGCAAGAGATTTGAAAAAAAAAGTAGTTTAGCGCTCAAAAGTGATGTGTACGCGAGGGAAGATGGAGTAACCAACAAAGGAGGTGGAAAATGGGTTGAAAGAAGAATAAAGTGTTAAGAAAGGTCATCCAGAGAGCATGACGTCGAGAGGTTTTAGTGATTGCTGTGTTGCTGTGGGTGTGTACTACATGGATAGGGTAATGTTGTGGAAGGGGAAAGATCTCAGCAGGATGGTCGGTCAACTCAACCCCTGGTCAACCCAACCCCTGGTCAACCCAACCCTTGGTCAACTCAACCCCTGGTCAACCCAACCCCTGGTCAACCCAACCCCTGGTCAACCCAACCCCTGGTAAACTCAACCCCTGGTCAACCCAACCTCTGTTAAACCCAACCCCTGGTCAACCCAACCCTTGGTCAACTCAACCCCTGGTCAACCCAACCCCTGGTCAACCCAACCCCTGGTCAACCCAACCCCTGGTCAACCCAACCCCTGGTCAACCCAACCCCTGGTAAACTCAACCCCTGGTCAACCCAACCTCTGTTAAACCCAACTCCTGGTCAACTCAACCCCTGGTCAACTCAACCCCTGGTCAACTCAACCCCTGGTCAACTCAACCCGTCAACCTAACCCCTGTCAACTTAACCCCTGTCAACTTAACCCCTGTCAATTCAACCCCTGTAAAATCAACTTCTGTCAACTCAACCCCTATAAACTAAACCTCCAGTCAATTCATGCTCTGGTCAACTCAAACCACAGGTCAACTCAATTCCTGTCAACTCAATCCCCTGGTCAACTCGACTCCTGTCAACTGAACCCCGGTTAACTCAACACCTGCCAACTCAACCTAACCCCTGTCAACTTAACCCTTGTGAACTTAACCCCTGTCAACTCACCCTTGTCTAATCAACCCCTGTGTACACTCTATATAGTTGTCTAAAGACTCTAAGTACAAAATGCTTAAGTTCAGAACTTTGGGAGACAAAGAAACAAGTGGTGGCGCCAAAAATTGTGAAACAACAAAAGGGTTCGATAATTAAATAATAGTTACTTCAGTTCATCTTTAACCTTCATTTCTGACATGGATGAAGCATTTGGATCAAGTTTTCGTTAGACAATTAGCAACCCTCTGTACATTATAACTTCTTTTAAATTTATTCCCAATGAAATAAATTAATTTGTGTGAGTTACGGCTAAAGTAACGTGAAATATCTAGATTATTCGAAACATTCGATTTTTTTAATCTGGCTTGTGAATTTACAGTTATGAATATAATTATGATTGATTTGGTAATGCTGAGGAGGGATAACTGGGAAGTACACTGTGCTTCCGATACCCAAATTTCTAACAAAAGGAATTCTACTCAGTGATGACAACAAATATTATCGAGGGGAAATTCCAGCATCAGGGTGTTTTTCATTGCATTTTAGATCGATTTGAATCTTATTTACTTACATTTGAGAAAAAGTTGGGTTAATATACAAGTGTCTGGCAGTGGCATATTATTTTACCCTGCAAGAGGGTGGAAGAGTCTATTGCAAATCGAATGTTGTGTACTGGAGGAAGAGATTTTAATTTTTCAAGCGGCAGGAACTGGTCACCAACCCTCAGATATGAGGACGGTACTCGGTTGATTGAATACTTATCTTGCTTCTTAGAAATACATGCCATTGGAAACAAGTACATAAACTATCCAATAGCCTTTCTGCAAAATTTGTAAACTATAATAATGAACCAGAAAACTTTCGATATCTTAGAGCAATTGCTCATCTATATCTATATATATATATATATATATATATATATATATATATATATATATATATATATATATATATATATGTTAGCGGGAGAGAGAAGTGGAGAAGACGGGAATGCTGCGTTTAGCACGTTAAAGGGGTAAGATGCAGTTTCTTAGAACAATTTTTTAGGGGGGTCGTATGCATGTTTTTCTCAGCACATGAGGACAGTGCTGTCATTTTTTAGGAGGGTCGATTGTAATATTCAGAAATTTCAGAGTAATGTCAAATGCCGCGCCATTGGCGATACTGAGCTTTCAAGGTCGTCTGAGGGAAGAGAGCGCTGCACATAGCGAGAGGTTGTGGAACTAGGCCTAAGTGATATTAAATGTAATTTGCCGAATTAATAATGATGCGATTCATGAAGTTAAGGGACTATTATTGAATTTGAAATTATTATAGATCGTTTATCAGTCTGAATAATGTCACTGGTGTCCCAAGCAGTTATTAGTTTGGCGGAAAATATGTCATGTAGGCCTAAGCTAGCGCCTTGGAGAGACGCGACGCTGGCTGGTCCTCAGTCACGTGAAAGCGATTGGACCTACAGGACGTCCCTGCGAGTCCGTCCACAGAAATGGTCACGTGGTCTAGTCACCTGTGCTGCGCTATTGCAGTATAACAAGGTTTCCGTCAGAACCCACTTGACTGCGAGAGATTGACTGCCGTTTGAGACTGCCGTTGATGATTGAGGGTGGCGATTGTCGCCATTTGACCGATCAGTGTAGGCCTGTCACTGTTTAGCGGGGTATCAAAGAATCTCTTGAGTGAATCTAGCCGTCTGGGTGCCCAGCTGAAGACGGGACGATCGTTGGGGTCATCAGCTCTCCTCTACCTCGGCTCACAATACCACATGTTTCAAGCAGCTTAGTGAAACCCTCTTGCTAACGGGAAGCTAAAGCTTCTCTCAACTGTACAAGGTCTGATTGGCTCACTCCCTTCCGCTTTATGGATGTACCGGGGGTAAAGTGAAGCTAGCTGAGTGATACAGGGTCGCACACTGGGGCCAAGAGTCAGTGGAGTTTAGAGGTACACTTTCCAAGGTGGCGAAAGGCTGATTTGGGCCTTCAACTACGGGTGCCTGTTGGTTGTGCCTTAAACGACTACGGAGTGCAGGTGGAATCTGTGTGTGTGTTAGGTTAGGGAGCATGGTTCACGGGTATTGGACTCAGTAACGTCTTTATAATAGTGACAATATTTTTGTGTGTAGTTAATACTATTTTTTCAGTTACTAATGTATGCTGTGTGCATTTAAAATTTCTTTATAGTTTCAACCTCAGATATAACCTTTGTTCCCCAGAATAGTGTTTAAGTTAGGTTAGGAGGTGTGCATCTGTTGGTGTAACATAATTATATTGAGTGCCCTTAAGGCCTATTCATTGTAGAGTATTTAATTTCTTATTTTTTAATACCATTTCCTCAGTGACTCATATTATTTTGTTGAAAACCCTTAAGGCCTGCATCTGTTGGTGTAACATAATTATATTGAGTGCCCTTTAGGCCTATTCATGGTGGAATTAATAATTTCTTATTTTTATACCACTTCCGCAGTGGTGGATATTATTCTGTGAAAGCCCTTAAGGCCTGTTTCATGTGTGCAAGCAACATTTCTTAATACTTCAAATTTATTGTTGCCTGAGTTTCTAATAATTTCAATATCATGTATAACTTTTATTCCCCAGAGTAGTGTTTTAAGTTCAAGTTAAGAGGTGTGCATATTGGTGTACCATTATTTGATTGTGTTTGTAGTGTTGGAGGGAATATAAGTGTCTAAATTTTACAGTGTGTCTCATTCATCCCAGTCACAGACGCTATCCTTCCACGGGTCACGGACAATTCATTTTGTTTAGTAGATTTAAGTGTTCTTGTGCTGGTTCGGGATTTTTCTCAAAGGGGCGCTTCCACTGCATTACCATCTAATAATCTTTAATAAACCCCAAGTCAAAGTCCAGTAAATTCCGACCGGTTATATATATATATATATATATATATATATATATATATATATATATATATATATATATATATATATATATATATATATATATATATATATATATATATATTGTTACGAGTTGGGGATTTAGAATATAGTTAAAAGTCTACACAGATCCCAACAGGCAACAACAATAAAAAACTAAGACAATCGGACTATAAAAGGGTAGACGAAGGATGCGAGTTTTTGTTGTGTATAATAAAGTACCATAAATTCCTTAACAAAATATTCAGCTTTCTATAATTTACCCTTAACCATACTTAACCTAAACATACGCAACATTGGCTTAACAGTATATACATATTTATACAACATACAACATTTTGAAGCAAGTGGACGTGGGGAGGCAATATAGGATAACAAATACTTAAGTGCGGAGCTGAGATGGCTGATGAGTAAGGCGGAGTATTGAAGAAGATGGTAGGTAGTCACTATGCTGTAGGTTTCCAGGATAGGTGATCCTAGTGTGGTCACTTCCGAGAGTGAACTGAACCCTCCTCGATCTGGAGCTGATGAGGAAGACTTGGAGGAGGTGACGCAACAACCAGGATATGGAGAAGGGAAACCCCGGAGTGGTAACTAAGACTAGTCATACTCGGGTTTCGTCCCTAGATGGCGTTGCTCATGGTGCTGGGTAGGTAGATCATGACAATAGATGGCGTGGTTCGTAGTGCTGGGTAGGTAGATCATGACAATTGATGGCGTGGTTCGTAACACACCCCC